TTTTCCCGAAATCGTATTTTTTAATATAAAATTTCAATTTCATTAATATCAATGTGTCAGTGACGATAGGACACTTTACCAATGTGACATGTAATGCTGCAGGAAAAGGAACCTGTAAAGCGACAGGCGGTATAATGGGCTAGTTAGTTACATGTACAGGGGTTAGAAACCCCCTCTTGTAGAAAATAAACGTTATTCTCCACGGCACTGGTAAAAATATTACCGTAACAATTAATTTTTTACAATGAAATAAAAAATAGCACTGTCGATTCCTATTTTGATACCAGAGAAAAAGTTCAATCAAGTTTAAATATCCTCCCATTACAAACTGATTTTCTCTTGTGGAAGGCAGCAGGCCGGTTACTCATTGAAAGTGAAACTCGCAAAATCATTGACGAATTTACAATCGGTACTACCGTGTTTCAGTATGGAAATGTCCAAAATTACCTTATTTCTTAGGGTTTGCAGCTACCGAAAGCCCAATTCTCTTTAACGTTTTTATAGGTTGCCGATTTATTTATAATGTCGTATAATCAAATTAGATGCACAACTTAATTAACGAATAAACGGATTTTTCAACGTAACTGGTCACTCCAAAAAAATATCGCAACACAATTTTTTGCACCTTGGACCCTAACTCTTTCATGGTGTCCATTTATTTGAATACGAGCACCACAATCCAATAATGCACCGAAACGAATTCTCCTCCTACTGAATATGTAAAGTACGCACGACAATAAATGGAGGCACAAATGTTCGGTTGTGAGGCCAACGATTCTCCTACACACTGCGGTTATACGGCTTTCGGTTCGAACTTTTAAGTAAATTTTTATGCGCTCTTCAAAATGGCGTACACAATTCACAATATTCGTCTTGAGAGCTTGGCGAAGAATTTCGTTTTATGATGCTCACAATGTGTAAATTTGCACAGCATCAATGAAAAATGTAGCGCTCGACCGGCATAGATTCTCTTCGAAGATTCTACTAAGAATGTCTCTCTCCCACCAGATTTTTACTTAAACCTCGCCGAATCCCAAATACGAAACGACCCCCTTTTTCTGATCGCGGAAAGCGTGCTCCCTTAAGCAAATCCCGCATTTTCATCACGTGCTCGGTTTTGCACACAACGGAACGCAAGTTTTGACTTTGAGGTCTGTGATATCGTGACAATACTGCGACGTTTCGACTCTTATCTACGTTAACACTTGTTCTTATCTTAACGCGTTTTATTTTTTCGAATATAAGTTCTGTTCTCTTTCCTTATGAAGCGGTACATGTATAAAATTTCCTATACCAACAAATTTGTAAATCTTTAAAGCCCAAACGACCTGTTATAGCGACAGGCAGATAAACTGTTACTACCGCTCTCATAAAAATTAAAATTTCCTGACATAAATTAGGCAATTAGTATTAAGAAATTTACTTCGTTTCAATGGCTACAGTGTGTGTGTGTGACGTTTTGAGCAGTGGGCAGAAGCAGTAGGTGCTCGAATAAGAGTCTAATCTCGTGTATTAGTTCCCATATACGCAATTTATTCGTTTGAGTGTTACCCAAAGAAATGGGGGTTTAATATTTCATAATGTCGGCGCAAAATCAAAATTATAACGATCGTGCGTACAAGAAGGGCTGTTTTTATCTAATGTCACCTAAAAAGAATTCCTTTCTTGGTGCAAAACAGCGAAGAAAATACGTTGATACGGTTTGGAGAGACCATAATAACCTATTTTTTATTTTTCGAAATGTGCTAAAAACGAGGGTAGAAACTCAAGGAACTTCGTCTCATAACGTACCTCCTGCGTACAATTTCGAATTATTCAAAATTTTATACACTTTTCCGAACCTTTTCCAAAACTCCCCATACAGATTTCCTAGAAGGAAATATCGTCATAGGTGTCAATTTAGGATAATTTGCCAACGATCAGCACTTGAAAGATAAGCGCAATATCTCACCGTTATCTTGACAGGTGGGAAAAAGACGTTAACCTCGTCACAAAATGTATGGGTGTCTTTTGAAAGGCACATATGCCAAAATGCTTTTTAAATTTCGAATGGCGGATTTACATGTGTACAAAGTGCAAAAACTATGTCGAGGTTGTGCAATTCGTACCATGCACGCTTGCAGCCATGTGTCTTGTTTTTAATCTAATTTGGCACGTGCGCGAGAGGGAGGCATGTTTCCTTTTGGTTCTTTTGCAATTCTCCTTCAACACAAACTAGAAAGATCAGATTTGAAATTCAAAACAGATTCAGACACTGTTTCCCTATCTATGGTTTAGTCAAGGTAACATTTTTCAGGTTTCATCATAGTGTGGGTAGCAGTAATTGAAGGTTTGTACGCTCCAGACGAATCACTTTCTGTAATGGGTAGTTTAGTACTAAGATGCGATAAAGGAGAGCTGGTTTTCCGAATGCAAAAAAAAGGCAACAAAAACTGGCAAATGCAGAGTTTTACAGCCCACGTGGGTTGTGCGCGACTGAGACGTTTGCAAGGAGCCAGATGCGTTAGATAAGGACATAAATAGATCAATAACCTAGCACTAGTAAATACGAGATCAAATATCCGACCTCCCCAAATCTATTATTTCACTCGCACCTAACGGAAACTGTTCAGTCTGCCAAATTAAGCGAATATCAACAAACCAATTACGTAACAAAAGTGCACCGGCAAACCTGTTAAAAACATTTAAAGCCCTCAATTACATAAATTAGCGCATATTTATTAAATTCCCCCTTTTTCTTGTACCTACAAAATGCAATACGTTCCGGAAGTATGCGCGCGTAATTAAAATAAAACCTAATCACACGATATCGACGTCCTTGTTCGGAATGGAAAACAAAAAGATAAGCGCAGGTGGACTTCCGGTAATATTTTTGGAAAATATCCCCAAGAGCAATTAGCGACGATTTACAAAAATCGAGCAATGTAAACAATTAAAGTAAAACGAGTACACCTGTTTAAACTCACCTCAATTTCGAAATCGGTGCCTTATTTATTCGTCACATATTGGAACAAAAACGTCAAATTTCACGCACTTTTTATTAACCCAGGGACGGTTTAATTCAACACGGTGAGAATTTTGCGAATTACACCTTGGGAAAATTCACACTCTGCCCACCCGCGCCGAAAACGGAGCATTTTCGCGATTCCATCGGCACTAGATCCAGAAGATAAATTTTGCTCGGTTACCGCATAAAAATATTAAGACGGCATTTGAAAAAGGATAGATTTCCCACTTGTCGCGGTGAGGAAACGAAACAGAGGGCGTAACGTGATAATGTATTTATTATTGACGTGTAGTAAGTGAACGAAAGGATTTCGGAGCGGGCAGGTATCTTTGTTTTTCATCTGAGAACTATACGAAGCTAAAACAGTATGGGAAATATCGATGATTGCATGAGACTCAAGTTGCGCGGACGCATTTGTGGGACGACTGCGCCCTCTGTTGTAAAAATTTGCAGATATGAAAAGGTAAGCGTACTTGACACACAATACGTAACAGAGTTGTGTAAAATCACAATAGGAAAACTGCTTAGTGCTTTTTAGCGGCAAACGTGTGAAAAACTTTGTTATTTACACAGTTGCATAGCAACAAGGCATTGTTTATTCATGATCTATGTTCATGATGAATAAACAAAGCCCGTAGTCTGACGTGTGTCCCAGGGCCAAGGATGCTATATAATAAGCATCCTTGCCCCAGGACCAGGGAGAACCACTGATCTAAATAGAGGCATAGATTCTTTTATGATAGAGGTCAGTGAGGAGAACGCACCATAGGGTGTATTTTTTCGCGAAGGATCCACGAATCCTTTGATTTGTAATTGAAGTTAGCCTTCAACTTACGTTATTGTGCAATACGCTTTCCCGATGTTAGAAAGTTTGGAGTAGGTAGTACCATTGTATGTAGGACGTTGAACGGTAATTTCAAAGTCCTCTTGGATCCTTTGTGAAAAAATACACTGCCGTGCGTTCTACCGTCTTTTATTTCAATGGTTCTACCTGGGACACGCTGAATAGTCAAAGACCCCGAAAAGCACAAATACCAGATCTTTTTGTGATTATACCCGCCGGTTGGTCTTCAGAACGCAGACAAATTTGTCTTTCTCGAACAAGGTCTTTCAAGAACACGTCCACGCGCGTCAAGCACCCAGTAGATTTTTTCAATTATCCTCATAAAACGTAGTGGCATTGAATGGTAGTAGGTTCTTTTGAATGAAATCCATTCGGAAAACGAATCAGCCACACCTGGTGATATGCGACGTTACACAGAGCAGTCTTTGACACCTTGAAAAGGCAACCACTAATTAACCTGCCATCCGAACTCAGTCAGCATCTGAATACACCTCGCGCAATAAGTGCTGCAGCCTTATCTGCTTGGTACAAAGAAATCAAGGGTGCCTTCGGTTACCTTTTCCAACTGGAGCCTTATTTCCATTAGAGTAGACTAAATTTGCATTCGTTCATGTGAAATCTATGGAGCAGATCTTCTAGAACGTTGACTTTATCTTAATTTACTTTTCCGTCATCGAATCAAGAAAAGAGCGCATCTGGAAATCCACTGCTAGAGTGCTACTGAATATGAGCGAAGTGGCAAAAAAATTCCCCTACAGAAAATCGTCTTTATTTCAGGGATTTAGTTTTAATTTTTTTAATGTGTTTGAATAAATTTTTATCATTGTCAATTGTGTTTATTCGAATCCACTTTGCGACTCGGGTAGAGTTTTCATGTCGTGCCCAATAATTATGTCAGGTATTCATGAAAATTCTTTGGAAGTTCGGAAGTTGGTCGAGGCTATATGGAGTCTCTCTAATTATTAATTTAAAGTCAACATTGAATAAGGACACAAAAAATCCTTACTGTTATCTTCATTGTACATACCTATATCCATTAGTTGGACACGGACACAGGTAGGGACTAAAGAAGAAAGAAATGGCGAATAAAAGGGTAGATGCGATTGCAGCACCTAAAAAAAGGATAGAGTAACTATGAAACTGTAATCGATTTGTCCATTAGGTATATTCAATAATTTAAGGGTCTATTTAAATTTAATTATATTATTCCCAGTATTAGTTGAGTAAATCCACGGGAATGTCTTCCCCTTTCGCCGCGCGAACATACAAATTTATATCGGGTTTCACATCGCTTACAATTTTCCAATAATTTTCCGCCGTCTCCAGTTTGTGGGTGTCCCGATAAGTGTGGCATGATACGGAACATTCGGCCCCAAACAACGTTGGAATCCAATACGTGTACTCCCCCGCCAGATTTCTTCCCGACGCCGAATGCTTTATTATGACTCTGGCGTTGGGAGGAAATCCCGAACCGGCCGTTTCGTCCCTCAAATTTGGATTCCAATGGTACACCTTAAATCTGCAATAAAGATCTGGACTTTGAGTTAAGCGCAACTGCAGATGGCCCCCGAAATCATCCATTGTTGCGTTCTCGCATTGAAGGTACAAATGGCTATCGGTTCCCGACTCGCTTATTCGTATATAAACGTCATCGCCGTAATACACAGACTGTCCATTGGATTGACCATCACATCCGACGAAGAGGAAAGTGTTTCTCACACAAGGCGCTTTGTCGGGGGATAAGCACAAACCGCAACCGTGTATGAAATGGGTATCGACATCTAAATCCCTTTCGTTCATAATACCCGACAAGTATAACCCGTACGTCGCCTTAGAACCCTCATCGGGATTCAGTTTGTTGGGTAAATCACAAGCTTGTATTTGATAAACGTACCCGTACAGAACGTACGGAGTTTCCGGAGCCAATATAACACTTTTCAGCAGATTCTTGAAAATTTTTCGCGTTTTTTGGATCAATAGTTGGCAATGGTCTCTCTTGTAGCTCGCAACGCGCTCCTTTTCCTCCTCAAGAAAGAGATCTTCGTTCCAATTCGCAATTTTAACGGGAGCGGAATAGACGGGACGTTTTTTCCACGTTTCTTTTCTTTGCTCTTGATCGAAAAGGTACTCGGGCGATTCATTATGAAATTGTTCTCGACAATGCATTTTGTAAATTAATTGTAGTAGATAATTTAATTGGAGTGACGCGTATTTGACATCACCCACACCAAAGCTACGGAAACACCTGTCTTATTGTTCCATGGAAACACCCAAGGCAAAATTTTTTGTCAAAATGGCTAATTCATAATAAAAAATTCAAAGGGCTGTAACTTTTGAACTAGTAGCCCAATCTTGGAACTGTTTGAAATTATGGATTCTACAGGCCACATTCTATAAGAAAATTTTTTTTCCGGGTCGATCTGAAACAATTTTTTTTTCGGGGCTCAAAAAAAGGCAGTGTATTATTCGTACCATCCAATCCTAGCCAAATGCTACAGAGATTGGAAGTCGCGCGTAACGTCCGACATTTGGGCAACAAAATTTAGATGGCGCTGCTTGTAAGCAATTGTTAATGTACCTTAGTAGATTACTAAAGTAACCTTTGATTATATACTACACTAATCAAAGAAAGTAACGCGAATAGCAACTATCTTGGCTCAGTTTGGGAACCGCGAAATTTGAAATTGAACAACAGTTGGAAAGTATGTATTTTGTAGTCGCTCTTGGGTAGGGCAAGTTTTGTGAGCCTTTAACGTCACAAGAAAAATATAGTTGCATCGCTTTTTCAATCGTTTCACTACTCTACATATATAAAGCCCTTGTGTGTACCCAATTCTAAATATTTTAAATTGATCTTCATTAAAAGTGTTCGAAAAATTGTCTTCACTTCTGAGTAATTTCTTTTTTCGGTTTCTGTTTCCTTGCAAAAGTGCGTAGATGCGCTCCTCCAATGAATTAATGGTTACATCAGTACTCTCCTGAATGTACACCCAACTATTATAATACAAAAGAACAAATGTCAAACCTAACACTAGGTGTCAAACGGCCATTTTGCCTCCGTTAGCAGTTTGTTTTTGTCTAATACACTGGCCTAATGAATCGCGTTACTTTAGTAATCTAGGGACTTCAGTAATTGTCATCACTGTTGGCTGGAGAGCACCCCTAAGATCATTAGCTACAATTTGTTTACTTAAATAGATTGATTTTTTCGTGACCACGGTCTTTTGAACTAACTTTAAATTAAATTCAAATCTAATAACAATTCTGTATTAAAAATAAAGTAACGTTAAATGAAAAAATGAATTAGTTGTAACAATTCCAATGTCAATGAGTTCACCAAAACACATGCAATACCCGCGGCGTTAAATTAAGAGGAGATTCAGACTTTTTCACTCACATATGATTTACAACTATTTTGATATACAACCCTTGCTCTACTCCAGCCTTGGTTAGAATAATTTACACAAAAAGTACATGTGAGAATGCCAGGAGTAGCACACCACATTAAGTAATAATAGAAGAAAGGTAAATTAGAGGACCCCCTTCTCGCATCATATTGCTAAGATGCAAGAGCTGTGATCAGCACAAGTAAGAAAGTAACAAGATACGGCGAAGAATCAGACTGTACTTCCTTCATGGAATACAGCTGTTATTACAGGCATAATAATCAAAATAATGGACATTGCAATACATAAGGCAGACCTGGGCAAAATACTTTTTAAAGGTATTTAAATACTAAATACTTTCCAAAAGTCAAAAGTATTGAAAAATTAAATACTATTTAAGCAACATAAGTAAATACTAAATACAAATACTTTAACAGTATTTAAGTACTGAGGCGATATGTTGCGCCGATATACTGCTACGGAGGTACGTGTATCGTATATCGCCTCAGTATAAACACGGCCTTACATTACCATATTGTTCCCTTTGATTTATTTTAATACCGCGACCCCTGTAATCAGATTTCACAATTCAATAGTGTAACTTCCCACAACAAAGTACTGTGAAAGTCTGGAAGTTAATGATTTAACTACGTTTCTGTAATACTAAACACTAAAAACGTTTGTAGCTTTTACCTCACTGAGTAAAAATTCATTATAAAGCTTGTTCTTTCAACCTAATATATTAATTACTAATGCAGTTCTTGTATATACATATTCAGACTGTAACTTATTAACTAAGGTATATAACAAAACTTTTAAAAATCCTAGTTCAAGATAAACAATAAGAAATGGACGGAAATTTTCTCACATTGTGTGTTAAAAGCAAACAAGTACTATTAAAATATAAAAACAATAACATTTTATTCTAAGCCCCGTTTACATATTGAAAATGCTACAATTATGGATTACTTACATTATTTTAAAGAATTGCCTAATTACAATAACATGAAACTATAATACCGTTATTTACTTAAATACTCATTTCACAATTTATCACTTATTCACAATAATTATTTGATTTTAGGGTTGCGCTTTAATAATCTCACAAATAGTATGCAACGATAACAATATAAGCTCGGGCAGCTTAGTATAATATTACCTATTCCAAATATCGTCCATAGCTTTGTTGGAAATGAATTTATCCGGCAGTACTTTTAATGTTTTCATGGTTTCCAAATAGAAAATTATTTCCGAGGTGACGACGCCGTGTTGTGGTCCTCCGTTGTTTTGAATGTTCATCTTAATTATTTCGTCACGAAGTCGCCCTTTAAAGTTCTTATGTATAACTTCGTAAATGTCGGATACCTAGGAAAATACTTTTGTAAATATACTGAGTGTGGGAAGAGATGGTGGTTTTGTAAGTAAGGTTGAGACTGCAGTGTATCTCAGCTGTTTTTAAAGATAGTAACTTTGTTGAGTAAATACAGGCCTTATTTTTTACGGTTTTAAATAGTAAATGATGATTCTGGAGATCCTGTTTTATTTATTGTATCCCGAGTATCCATAGTAATTAAGGCGACCGATACCTACCAATAAAAATGGCCAACGGTCATTTCAAAAATTTGAACAATAATATGTAATTAGGTATATAAAAAATATAGGTTGTGGTACATCAATTGAATCAAGAAAAAAGATGCAAAAATTGACGTTAATATATACAGGGTGTCGCATTTAAAAAATACAGACTTCGGTCAAATCCAAAAATTTTTTTACTACGCCAAGGATTGTACGTATAAATATCTAAAATAGGCAGTTTTTACCTTTTTTCTATCTTACATGGGTGGTAAAATTGATAAGATTCCAAAAAGTAAAACTTTTCGTTTTCACCCTGTATACCAGAAATGAAAGTAGTTACAAATGGTTTTTTTTGTGGTATTAAAAAAGTGGAACAGAGTCGCGACAACGGCAAGTCTATCTTTAAAAACAACTGAGATATGCACTGCAATATCAACCAAAATAAGACACACCGAACAAATCTTGAAAACTAACCTATTTATTTACAAGTCAAATTTCAAAAACTCCCCTGTGGAATTTTCTAAATTGTTTCCACAGAAAATTGGATTAGATAGTTACCTGCTCGTCTGGTAGAACTGGTTTGACAGCTTCGTGTAGTTTCGTTAAATGCTTCGACACGTTTCTAAATGCTTTGGATGGCACTGGCGGTTTCGCGTCCCACTCGTTTAATTGGTCGCCTAATAACGTATTCATAATCGACAACACTTTTGTTTCGAGCTGCTGAATGTGGTGCCCGATGTCACGTTCAACAGTATCCATACTAACTAAGAGCTCGTTGGAAATATTCTTAAAATGAGCGCGTATATGAGGAATCAGCCACAGGACGAGCTGTAGAGCTCGCGAGGTTAAAGCTAAAGTTGTACTCGTAATCGTGTTGAGGCCGGCAGTCCGCAACGCGCCCGCGCCTAAAACCAACTGGCAAGATCGCGAGTTAAACGTCCTCAATAATTCGGTCAAATTTCGTCCGATAACGGCGGCTAAAACTGGAAGATCGTAAGCACAAACACAGTATTCACTAACAAGACGAATTAACATTAGAACGGTTCCGACAGTCACGTATTCTTGTGAGCCAATTTTCAGTGCGCCGGCCGCTTTGCTGTTGTTAACAATGACACCGTTCTCGGGACTGCTCGGGATGGAGTTCATTGGTTTATCTGACGAAAGTTTATCGACTAAAACTTGAAACTCGGGAGGAACTTCAGCTACCTTCCACCTTTCGGCGTCCAATAGTAACGTTAACTTACTCTTTCGTTGACTATGAAATTTATGTACATAATTTCCAGCTTGTATTTTAAAGGCGGCTCGCAGCGCCGGACTCTGACGACCGCAGACTTCTTCGCATACTGCCGTAAAATCTTCCACGATATCCGATAAATCTGTAATTTGCGCGGAATTTATTGGTTGCCTATCGGATTGGGTACTAACGAGTGATGCCAGTCTTTCGTGACAGTAATCGCAGACTGCCGACAGCAGATCTTCCAATTTCAGCTTGACGCGCTTGTGCTCATCTAAGCTGAGAAACCGCTCGCCGAACTCCGAGGTTTCCAGTAAGCCGGCACTAACGTCGGCGGTATTCGAAATGACATTATGAACAGCGTGGACTCGCCGTATTAATTTTACTAGCGCCTCACTGGCGAGTGCCAAAACTTTGAGCCACTGAGCCGAATCCAAGGTGAAAGGTGCCTCTCCGGATCCGGTCAAACAGTGCTCCATATCGTCCTCAACGGTCGCCAGTTGCTCGATTACCAGCTGTTTTAAAACCGTTTGAGCGGCGGTTATCGCCTCCTGCTTGTAAACCTCCAAGAAGTGTAGGTGACTCTGTCGTAACAATCCCGCAACTAAGCTCACCAAGCGTTCCGGCTCCAAAACTTCGACGCAAGCATTCAAAGGCCTATGCAAATCCGCAGCCGCGTACCTGTTACCAATAAAACAATTTAAAATCTACTACGCATAAAAAACCAGGTGCCAAATTCTTGACAGAACACCTTCCTAGCTTAAACCAGAAATAAATAGTGATTTACATAAAAGTCAGGAAAATGATACATTATTGGGGAGGAAATATTGAAGTGCTTTGTCTCACATCCTTTATGCCTAATGTACACTGCCAGTATTTCAGCAAAACCAAAATAACCGTTTACTTTTTTAACTTTTGACATATTTTCTTGGATTTTTTCGTAATAAAACCTATAGTACAATTTTTGTAGGGTTTAGAAAAAAATTTCAAAAATTCGACCCGTTATTTTTCGTTTCCGTAGGCCTAATATACATATCCAAAATTCGTCGGGCCGTGAGAGATACAGTGTAGGCTAAATGGGCGCAAAGTTGCTCCTGTTTAAGACCAAACCAACGCATTTAAAATTTTTGAAAATAACTGAGATATCACCGAAAAACTGAAAAAGTCAAATTTGGTTTTCATTTTCCCTAAATTAAACGCTGGAAATGGATGGTTTCAGTCAGCATTTTTTTTTAGGAAATTCTGAATCTGTTATCAGATTTTCCATAACACGCTAAATGCAGAAGCTACAGGGTACTACTTTCTTATTTCTTATAGGCGCCATAATGGATTTTTACGGAGTGAGATAGAAGACTCTATACTTTTACATAAATTTACAAGAAAAAGATATCACCGAAAAACTGAAAAAGTCAAATTTGGTTTTCATTTTCCCTAAATTAAACGCTGGAAATGGATGGTTTCAGTCAGCATTTTTTTTTAGGAAATTCTGAATCTGTTATCAGATTTTCCATAACACGCTAAATGCAGAAGCTACAGGGTACTACTTTCTTATTTCTTATAGGCGCCATAATGGATTTTTACGGAGTGAGATAGAAGACTCTATACTTTTACATAAATTTACAAGAAAAATTTCACAACCAAATGTTTTACAACAACAAAAATCCACTGGATCTTGCTAAAATCAACATGGCTATGATAGTGAGGCATTAAAATTAAATTCTTTTTTATCCTCTATCTCATTCCGTAAAAATCCAATATGGCGTCCATAAGAAATAAGCAAGTAGTAGCCACCCTGTACATACATTGACAAAAAAATTTTTATTCTTTAAAAGTTGCGTAAAATCATCTAAAAGGTCAACATTTAATGAAATTTTTACATGTCCAAAAAACGATGATCAGGCTAGGGTAGGGGTCGGCAGCCTGCGGCTCTTTTGATATAAAGTTGCGGCTCTCCATATTTATCTAAAGAAATTAGTTCATTTGTTGAAAAAGAATAGTTATAGCACTTGGAACAAATGGCATTGAAACAAGTAAAAATATGCAGGATGTTCTATTTCAAAAGATCAGTTATTTATTAACATTGTAAAAATGAGACACCCTGTACATTCAAAAATAATTTCTGTAGATCCGCAACCACCAATATTTTTTACCAGGTATCAGCTATGTAGGAAAAACCGATGCAGGACCCTGTATATAACCAAATACTATAATATTGAATCAAAAATTTTTGTGACTCTTTAAAAACTGGGAAATGTTGTAAATTGTAATTTTTGGCTCTTCCGTTTCAATAGGTTGCTGACCCCTGGGCTAGGAAACTAAAAATTGTTATACAGGGAGTACCAACTTGTGTCACAAAAAATGAAGTAATAGAGAGACATCGATTTGCGTTTTTTTTGGGATATAGAGGGCGGCAGAGTGTAAAAATATTGGCGGCCACCTGCCATTAACGGTTCCTAAGGAAAGTGACCTCAGTTTCGAGTTCTGGAATTGGAAGTACAAGATGGCCCAAATTTTTACATACACAAATAAGCTAACGAGCACTTGAGAGCTACTATCTTTGAAGAAGCCTGCAGGAGACCTTTGAATTGATGCAATTAGGGCATTTTCTGTGCAACAGGACCCCTGAACCCGAGTATCAACCTATGAATAATTATGTCAAATAAACCGTTTCGTCGAAATAAGTCTATTTTTATGAAAATGAAAGAATTAACATACCTTTCAAATTCGGTACTCAACATCTTATCGATCAATCGCGACATTTCCTTTAATTGAGACGGCAAGTGCCGCAAACTCGTCACGCCTGCCAGTTCCTTCGCTAAAACCTCTTGAGTGCTTGCAATCAGTTCCAAAGCTGCAACAAAGTCAGACGAACTTAACAATAACTGCAAAGTCGGCTGCGTTTGCAAAACAGTTGCCATAAGCTTCAATTTGTCTAGCAATAAAATATGATTTGTCCGCGATCTCGCGAGACCGACAAGCTTCAACGAGTCCTTCGCCAGCATTCTATCGACGTTTTGCACTTTGGCTCGAAGAGCTCGAACCGCCTTGCAAGCGGTACCCATCTGCTCCATGATCGTGTCGTGAGAAGTCATGGCGTGAAAAAAGGCACTCGATTTCTGCGATACTTGTATCGCAATTTGCTCTTCGACCGAATCAAGGTAATAGCTGAGCTGCTCCTGCAACAAACGTCCACTTTGCTGGCTTTTGGCATCCTTTGAAGTCGTAATGCTAGTAAATATCGTATTGAAAACCATAGGATCATTTAACGGTAACGAAGGTTTTAAAAACACCACGGGAATACTGTCAAAGTTGGTCTCCGTCGAAACGAGTTCAGTACTGCGGCTTCTTGGCCGTAAGCCTTCGAGTTTCGCTTGCGAAAGTCTAACATGCCTTCGGTGCCTACGGCCGTATTTACGAAGATAGGTTTCAAAGTGAGAATGGTTGATGTCCGGTAGAAAAGGGCACTTTCCTATACTGGTATTTTCTACAAACGTATCGCCCCATGTTCTCGTGAAGAAGTTAGATTGCTTTCCTCGATTCGGATCATTTAAAACTGCGGGAAGATTCTGCGCTGCACAAAATATGGTCCAGCGCTCGGTGCCAGGGGTCATATCAGACATTTGGCAATTTTTTACTACCTAAAATTACTCATTTTATGGATATTGTTATAAATCAATATCAGCTGATATGATCCGAACGCCATTTTGAAACTTGCCAAATGTCATCGAGTTGTCAAAGTGTTTTATGGATGCGGCCAGCTATCGCATTCAATACTGCAACCAAAAGACATGTTTACACTACATTTTGGATTTTTTTGAGGGTGGGGTTTTAGCATTGTTTAAACAATGGTTTTAGATTACATCACGAAGCGCCTCGGGATGTAATCTTGGGTACAATACCATAAAAGATGATAAAGGCAATTTCTAACCCCCCCCCCCCTCCCCACCGGCACCCTCACAACACTGATTCCACATATAAGTTATCAGAAACTTTTCCCGTGAATAGATAAGTACAAAGATTGGCTGTCTGACATGTTAAAATTATCTCATAAGAAGTGCATTTAAATTTTAAGAGATCTGCATTAGGAAACTTGGAAAATAATCAATAATTTATTACCGATCGCTTTCGCGTTTACCATAGGGTCTACATTTTCAGCAAAGATTATGATTTTCTAATGCAAGTAATGCAAAAAGTTTAAACCAAAATAGTAAGTGGTTTATTTTTTCTGGAGGCTTTCTAGATGGAGGACGATTCTCTCTAAAAATGTAAGAGCTATATTTGCATACTCCCACACACTATTATTAAAACATATGAGTATATATAAATTTTATTAAAATAGTTGCCTATATTAAATTGTATCAAAGCCTGGATAGTCTTTGGTTGTATCTTTTATAGTAACACATAAAAATAATAAACAATAAGTAAATAACCAAAAATATTCTAGACTACCAAGGGTTACGAAATATTTACATAATATCTGTATTGTTAATACATTAAACGGTTTCATAGCTCTTCTTTATTTGCTTGGCCAGATAACAAGAAAATACAATTCCCAAAAACTGCAACGTGCAACAATTAGATAACACACAAGTCAATTAACGAAAACAAACCTGTATAAATGCCAAAGCCAGACCACTACTAGCAATAGTTAAAGCGTGATCTTCAACAATCTTTCCAAACGCGGAGACACAACCAGCTTTGAACAAGGTAGTTGTGGTAGTGTTACAATTGGCAATGCCAATAAGGCCAATTTGTGGTCCACAGCATGTCATGGGCAGATAATCATTGTTGGTCACATTTTTCCAGTCCATATAGTTGTGAACACCGCAGCAGTGAAACTATATACAAGCAAAAATTATAATTCATAATTCGAGCCGAGAGAAAACTTACGTCTGTTTGTATTTCATCCCAAAACTTGGTTGTGGGGGAACTTGTGTTGTTAGGGTCGTACTTATGGAGACTAGACTGTAATTTTTCGCTGAGGAAATCAAAGGTTTGATTACGTAAAACATATCCACTAATACCGGCAGCAAACTCAAGAACGAATATCAATATCAATAGGATCGAAAACTAAAACGACCAATAAGTTATAAGTTCTTTTACAGTACGTGGCAACTTTACGAATACGATCGAGCAAAAGCTCTCCCTTATTGCTCCGTAGCAGCCGTAGAACGAAATTAGGAATATGATCGCGCCAATTGCGATCAGTAAGTTGGGAATTGAAAAGTACTGATCCTCCAAAACGAAATCATAGCTTGTAAAGTAGGTTTTGATGGATACCCCGAGCGAGCAGATGATTATTCCAGTAATCTAAAACATTCACTTAGATATCGACGACCTGCACAATAATAGACTTACGAAAAAAATAAGATTAAAAATAAACAGAAGATATTTAATGCACGAAACCGACCACGTCGCCTGCATGTTGAAAATTCAAAAGTTTCTTTTTCCACAAATTACCCACGCAACAATCACTTGCCCAAAATGCTGTCAAACTGGTTTCTGCAGTCAGTACACCCCGGAGTCTCTAAAAATTTCGACTAACAAGACACGTAATTGAACTTCAAAGGACAAAGATAACATTATGACAAATGCAAAAAAGTAATCTCGTTGGTTTTTTAATCGCGTACAGAGGTACGCAAATGTGATGTTTAATGTCACCGCGCATAAGGTCGAGAATAGCGTAAAAAGGGAGGGAGTCTCATACGCACGTGGTTTTGTTTTTCCCGGACTTTGGAATCCCATATGGATTCGCAATTTGCGGTACCTTTACAATGCCGACAGTTGCCCAAATTTACATTAACGCGGTACATGTAATTGACGTGAATTTGATCCATTATTCTGTATTTTAAGCATTTTTTAGTATTGCGCAATGTTTCAATTTTAAAAATTTGAATGTAGTGCAACAGGTCTGTATTGAGGGCGAGTTCTATGTAAACAACAGCAGTCAGGGGCATCTAAAGTGCACAGCACAGTGTACATTCTGGATTTTGAAGGTAGAGTTCGTGTGTGACAATTGCACTTAACCCTTACGATCTCAAGGGTGGTAACGCTCTGAGATACCATCACCAGTCTAGGGCCCATTTTGCAGAGACTTTGGTGCCTGAAAAGCAGCCTACTGTAGCTAGGGGGTGGCCCAGCCGAGCCCCACCTAGAATGCGGTCTTGCCCCCACTGGAAATTACGGTTGATTGTTCCTTTACAAAAATTACAAGGGAAGCCTTCACCAAAAATTTCTTCAGCCCCATCTAGATAGTTTGAAGTGAAAATGAAACATCTTGGGTAGACACACTACCGTTATTCAAGAAGTTACGGTAACGAGAACCGACACCGGTACCGTTAGTGCCAAATAAGCCATATTTTTGGGTAGTTGCGCTTTGTGAGAAGGATATCCGTTTTATATATTCTTGTTCGTGAAGTTTGGTTCTGAAGTGTTGATTTTAAAAACTTTTCTTAGATTTAACATTAGTCATTTGTTACTCATTATTTCATTGACCAAGAAAAAATTTCACACGTCAAAAACCAAAATTCTCTCTTTTATTCAGAACTGCCACACTAATTTCTACAAACTTAATACTAAACAAAAATATGTGAAACGTGGAAAATGAAAATAATCAGATCAAAAACGCTAAGAGGGTAGTGGCAGCGGACTAACTGAAGGTAGGCCGTTCTCGAATGACATACCCCAAAGTCAAATCAGACCTATTTTCTGCTACCCTTTGGAAGCCATATTGGTTTAGTAGCCGTGTCGTCTGAATAGACGTCCCCTTGTGGTGGGTACGGAGGGCTAGAGGGACGAATTTACACTCTTCTGACATGGAGACTGATAAAAACAATAAACCAGAGGAAACGTACCCCAACTTATGTTACAGGTCCCTGAGCCTCAACAACATACCAAACCACGTAAGCGCATCTCCGCCGTTGAGCAGAAGAGACTGGCCCAAATTGCCCCAACAGTCACCTCCAAACCATCCACCTCCCGTGCCCCAATCCTGACCCAGACTCAAACTACTAGAGCTAACTTCGATCAGGTGGCCAAACGGGTAGGCGGTAGAGAAAACGAGACATTCTGGTCGGTTCTGCAAAAGGTGTAAGCAGCTCTGAGTTGGCACTAAGAAAGGGATTATAGAGCTATAAGTATAGAGTAGTAAATGCTTGAGAGACTGTTAGAACCTTCTATCTCTGTAGAAAGCGGTTTTCCAGAACTGCATTCCAGACCACTTAAAGCGCAAGAAACTTATGACGTGCACTTCTAATGTGTTCCAAAGCCTTTTAAGTGTTCAAGATTCTACGCACCCAAATTAATAAGAAAAAGTTTTTTCCCGAGAAATTTTGGTGCAGTCGATTTTTGGTAAAAAAGGAAGGTTATATACTGCCTTTTTTTTGCCCCGAAAAAAAAAATTGTCTCAGATCGACCGGATAGAATGTGGCCTGTAGAATCCATAATTTCAAACAGTTCCAAGATTGGGCTACTGGATCAAAAGTTACAGCCCTTTGAATTTTTTGTCGAAATTGGTTTTTTGCCCATAACTTTTGATTGAGACGTCTAATCGAAAAAGTACGAATCGTTTTGGATTCTATGCACCTCTGGGAAGTACCAAAAGACCTATATAACTCTTTCCATTGTGTATTTTTATAAATTTGTTTCTGAAAACCTTCTCGCACTTTATAACCCATTGGCTTGGGTGGACGTACCCTGAAAATAGAAATCTATAAAACATTCTATTTCTAGAAAGCTCTTAAATGGCTTTTATGAAAATTCCATGCACTCCTCCCTCACCGTAGAGCTCAATAATGCTTTTCAAGAGCCTTATAGGTTTGCATCAGCTGGTCCTTTACAGAGCAAAGGAAGTGCCAGGGCACTGTTTGGATACATGTTGACTTTCTAAAGGTGAAAGAGATTTATTTGGAATAGATATAGGTATCTGAAGTGACACTGTCATCATTCATTACCTTCGCTAATGGAATGTGGTTTTGTCTAAATCTACTATACATTTGCATTAGAATTAATAGGTATAAGCAGTGAATAAGTAATCATTACTTATTCAATGGTATAAGCCATTTAAGGGCCCGCTGTACTACGATAGTTCAACGTCATTTGATTGGGTTTTGAATTAAGTACGTGCGTTTTTTTTCAAAATTCAAAAAAATACAGACTAACAATCACATTATCTACATAAAGCAACTAATTTATTGAAAATAAAATCAATGCGAAATTAATGATCAGGTTAAACAGGTTACATATTAGTGACTGAATGGGTATTTCCATTTATTTCGTAGAGTGGTTGAAAATGTTTCATTGGCGGTCACCATTCTACGATGCCTTTCTGTTATCTTTATAAAAGTAGACGCGTTGTGCGAAGAATTCAAAAGGATTAATGTCTTATTTACAGCTGATTTATATAAGGTAATTTACCGAAAATCATCATGAAACCTTGCATTTTCATGCCAACTTTATGTCAGCGAAATGTTAGTTAGCATTTTTGTAGTAATAGAGACATATCGTTTGTTCACGATTTCTGTTACACCATTGAGTGAAATTCGTTATTCAATGGTTACACTCAATGCGTACAGAGGATTGTTTCCATGGTTGTTTAATTTTGTGTGTGAAAAATTCCAATCAAAAGTAACTTTGATCATCGAATTTAGGGGGACAAATTCTACCGAATTTAATTTAGGAAATATACTCATGCCTTTTACAATATTTAAGTGAGTAGCCCCCAAAAAAATAATTTAAAACATTTTAATTATGACCGTTTTGTGGTATTTTTGTAGTCATTAAATATGGTTTTTTGTTGCATTGAATTCGGACAAAAACTGTAGCACTTTTTAAATTACACCCTGTAAAAAAACTTAGACCTATAATAACAATTTCAATTCGATAGCACAATCGTAAATGTCGCGTGGTCAGTTCTTTTCGGGTTCTTCAATGCCAAAACGCTGCACAACTTGACGTCACCTCCTGTCTCGTATGCGTACGACGACACTACTTCCCCCATTTGCTAATTATTCAAAATTGTTGGTACCTTCCCCTTTACGAAGTCAAATTTAATGGGCTACTGATTAGACATGAGGTCACAGACGACTGTCTCATTATGATTTCATGTACTTATTAAGTGTTTCTACACCAGTTTGGTCAATTGAGTTGATTGCGTTACATTTGTCTTGTAAGTATGATGTTAAATCCTTAAAAAAATTAATACCTACAGCACTGATAAAATTTCGTCAAACTTTCAATGGTGTAGGCCATACACGTTATTCCATTTACGTCAGATTCTTACAATCAGCAAGCAAGAAGATGCCCGTTTTAATATACTATAAATTAAATTAATGGCGGTGATTAATTAGTTTAAACATTGCTCATCAGAGATTAAACTATATTTAATTGATAACAGTTCGGAAACTTTGTTTTTGTAATGTGGCGAAATGTTCAATTACCCAGTTACAATCACATTTACTACATACGCAACTATAATAATAAATTGGAAAATAAATGCGAAATTAACGGTCAGGGAAAACAGGTTAAATATTAGCAACTGAATGGGTATTTCCCATACATCTACAGTTCTTAATTCGACATAAATAAATGTTGCCCCTAGTCATTGTTCAGTTTTTAAACAATACTATAATAGTTTCCTTCCCAGAGTGTACGGTGTTAAAATCTAGTTAAAAATGTTTCATTTGGCCACCATTCTACTATGCCTTTCGGCTACATTTATCAAAATAGACGCGTTATCCGAAGAATTCAAGAGGATTAATGTCTTATTTACTGCTGATTTATATAAGGTAATTTATAATAAGGCAACTAACAAATATGAATCAGTTTTGTTTTGACAGGAATTATTAAAAACAAATCCGGAAAATTTCGTTGTCTGTCCACTTTCCATCGAAACCGTTTTAGCAATGCTTCACGCTGGAGCTGGTGGAAGAACTGCAAAAGAACTGGCCGACGGTTCCAAAGTTCCAGACAACTCCATTAAAGTACAAAACCTTTTCAAAGAATTAAAATTGCAAGAGGAACAATTATACACACTGAGGAGTGTCAATAAATTGTATCTCGCCAACAGATTTAGTATTAACGGTAATTATAGAGAGATAGTCAGGAACGTATTCAAGGCAGAGATCGAAAACGTAAACTTCTCCAACAATGAGAACGCCGCCCGAACCATAAATTATTGGGTCGAAAATCAAACTAGGAACAAAATTAAAGATCTAATCAAAGCTGAGTACTTAGGGCCTTACACTGTCTCGGTATTGGTGAACACTATATATTTTAACGCCGATTGGTTAGATCCATTTGATTCGCTACTCACAAAAGAGAGTCGTTTCCATCTAAATAGAGCGCAGCAGGTGGACGTAGAAATGATGCGCACTGTCTTAGAGACACCGATTTACGTCAACGATGAGCTAGGTGCAACTTTTTTGGAATTACCTTACAAAGGCGAAGACGTCTCAATGACCTTTGTGCTACCGCAAGAATTTGAAGGTATGCCGCGGTTAGAAGCTAATATGCAAGAAGTCCTTAAAAGGCAGCCTTTTGATGATGTTCGACAAGTGACAATAGCGATTCCTAAATTCAAAATGGAAACCTCAATTTCTTTGGAACCTATTTTGAAAAATGTAGGTGGGCACCCATTATATTTGACACAATTTGGTCACAGTATCTTTGCAGCTTGGTATCCGAGACGCTTTTACAGGATCGGCGAATTTTAGTGCAATGACCATAAACGACCACAATGTATTCTTAACTCGCGTGGAGCAAAAAGCCTTTATAGAGGTAACAGAAAAAGGAACGACTGCAGGTGCCGCTACCTTCGCCAGTAAGTTACGAGTTTTACGGGTGGCCTAACTGGTTATACGTTTCTTTCAGTTTCAGAAGACAGAAGTTTTGGGGCCACTTTCATAGCAAACCGCCCTTTTATTTACATCCTAAGGCATAACACGAATGGCATTTTATTTGTAGGGAAGTTTTCCAATCCTGTCGGTACAAAGGTATCGGAGTAATATTTTAACTAACATTAGATCTGTTAAACTTAGTTTATGAAATAAAGTTATTGTTATACAGTAAAATTCCAATAGTCCATTTTCTTACATTTTAGATCCAGAATGTTATTGGGGTGCAAAGCCTCAAACAAAATTTTTCAATTCTGCTGATTATAGATACATGATTAAGCTTATGACCAACGAGCTTGAAAAGTAGTGGTCCTAAATATGTTTCATTAGAAACTGGTACAGTTTTACAAGTCAGTTTTAAACATGACGTTTACCCGTTTACGTTTTGTCTTGTTAATCAACGTTTACAACTGAGTAACAAATAAAATTTTTCAATTCTGCTGATTATAGATACCCATGATGAAGCTTATGACAAATGAGCTTGAAAAGTAGTGGGCCTAAACATGTTTCATTAGAAACTGGTACAAAAGTTGAATTGTTGAATCCTTTAAGATCGATTAATTCAAATTTTACACATCCAATATTTATTTGATGAAACAAGTTAATCATAAATGAACAGAACTAACCTTGCATTACAATTCTTCACGTCCATGGAAACGGTGGAGACCCTTAACCTTCAGATAGAGCTCGGCGGAGAATAGGACAGTTGTTATCAGATGTTTTCTCTTAGGGAAGGTGCATACGACGGACGTGTTTCATCTTCAGCGCGTAATGACGAATTTCCTCGCTCCACAATTTCTTTCAGTAATTTTCTGAATGATCCCCTCTTCTGATTACCAAGATAATTTTTTACGCCCAAAAAAAGACGGAATAATTTTAACATAGCGATACCTAATTTTTATTGATTAACTTCTTTGTTTCCACCAATACGAAACGGCTTCTGGATCTTAAAATTCCAAAGCCTGCATTTCTCATGGAGTAACAGTGATCTAATGCTGACTGGTAATTGTAATTACACAAGGCTAATTAACTAGAGAAAGAAAAAGACTGCTAATTTACAGCGACACTATTTGTCTGGGAAGATGTTCTAGGACTTTGACATTTTTTACACCTTAAAAGTATTCCGCGGGAAAATACCGTTACAAAACTACATTTTTCCTGCATTTATCAACAACCAATCCAAGTGTCAAAGAGACAAGATACGATTGGAAATGTATATTATATACAGAGTGGCCCAACGAGAAGTATACAGAGGGCTTTTAGTATATTAAATTTAGAAATTTCGAAAAATCCTCGAACACGTCAATTTTGTATTCGAGGGGGACAACTTTGGGAATACAAATCACGAACCCAAGTCTTCACCCCTCTACGTAGGGAGCTTTACACCTAAAATTTTAAATGGAATCCTATGGCAAATGGCACATTATTTGAAAGCTAATTTAATCGTGATTACTAATCTCCTTTGCTTTTGAAATTCTATTGATTCGTTTCGGAGATATTCGCATTTAAAATGGTTTTTTTCCCCTGATTTAAGTCCTTTAGATTACTTCTTGTGGGGATATTTAAAGAATAAAGTTTATGCTACTCCGCCCGAACATTACAAGGATTGCGAGCACATACAACCATAGTGTAAGATTAGAATACACTATGGTATATCTGGAAGCAGGCGGAAGGCAATTCAAGCATTTATTGAAATAAATGTTAAAAATTTTAATACAAGGTGACTTAGATCGCATTTGTTTTGGTTTTTTTAGAAACCATTTCAAATGCGAATATCTCCGGAACGAATCAATAGAATTTAAAAAGCAAAGGAGATTAGTAATCACGATTAAATTGGCATTCAAATAATGTGCCATTTGCCATAGGATTCCATTTAAAATTTTAGGGGTAAAGCTCCCTACGTAGAGGGGTGAAGACTTGGGTTCGTGATTTGTATTCCAAAAGTTGTCCCCCTCGAATACAAAATTGACATGTTCGAGGATTTTTCGAAATTTCTAAATTTAATACCCTAAAAGCCCTCTGTATACTTCTCGTTGGGCCACTCTGTATATTAGTCTGTGATACTTGCTGCACAAAATTATTTTAAATGTAAATGTTATGCTTGTAGTATTTGTGAGCCTACTGTATACTTATTTTACTTGACATATCACATGTTTTCTGTATAAAGCCGGTTGGACAAATAAATATTATTATTATTATTAATCACTATGGGCCAATACAATAAATGCACATGGCTAGGGTTGAAGAATTTTTTTGACTTGAGTTGGTTTTTTATGTGCATTAGGTCAACAAATATACAGGCGACCCGCGTTACCCTTTACCATGCAAACATCAAGTATTTGTGACCTTAGTATGTTTTACGATCATTGGCAGTCATATTTAATGGATATTAATAGTGGTTAATTTGAAGAATAATAATAGAATTTGAGGTTAGCGCAATTAACAACAAAAAAACAAACATATATCTTAGTACCTCTTCATTTACATCCATTATTAGTTAACAGAATGACTAGCACTGTTTGTTTAAACATTCTGGGTGTAACAATATGTAAAGATATACAATATAGATTACAGTAAGTATTAAAAATAGAGCCCAATAACAAGTGTTTAAATTAAATCAGAACAACAACATTCGCTTAGGAAATATTACATAAAAACGGTCTACTAGAAACTAGAAAGGAATTCTACAGTACAACCGATAAGGACTCTAGTGTTGCAGTTTCAGATAAGCGTCCTCAAATAGTTCCAATTCATGTAAAAGGTAATTAGCTTTGTTTCGTAATACCTTCGCACGGCCTGCGGCGTTTTCTAATCCGTTCACTTGGGTTTCTAACTCTTTAAGTTCTTTGTCCATTTCACTAGTAGCCTCATCGACAAGATGGCACAGACGCGCGAAGCTTCCGCTCAACTCCTGCTGTACTTGGTGGCTGCAATTCGCCGAAGTCAAATCTACTATCATTCGCAGTTTTCGCGTTGCATGCGCGACGTACTGCTTCTTGAACGATTTTTCCTTGGCCTTATTTGTCCACGTCAACCGTTCGTACAAATACAAACAGGAATATACAGTACCGGTGAATATGATAATTCTCCAGCCCACCGTCTTTAATAAAACTCCAGCTAGTAACAGACCGCCCATTGTACCCTGCGAGCTTGCGCTCGCCAAGGCCATTTTGGTTAAGATGGACCAATCCTCAGTGCTCGCGCTACCCAACAGCAACCTTCCGTCCAAAGGTTCGGTCGGTGTCATTGGGATGAGCGAGGAAGTGGGACTTTCGCGTTTGTTTTTAATTGTAAGGGCGGTATTTCCCCGCGAGAATCTCTGTATTAACGCCGTTATTCCCCACGAAAATCTAAATTCGAGATCTTCGCGGAAATCTGCGCATAAGTTATCACAATTTAATCTGTACAGAATCTCAAACGGTTGCCTTCGCGGCGCTATGACGCCGGTCATGCCGCGTTGCGATGGCGGAATTAGCGATTCGACGCGGTCCGTCATTTCCTGTTGACTGGTTTCCATATTTAACGCTAAGGCCGTCGATAATCGCGCTCTCAGATTTGATCCTAAGCCATTTTCGACATGCGCATGTAGTTCCTTTTTGTAAACGTTTAACACTAACGGCTCCGAATGGAAAGGTAAATTAAACTCGTCAACGAGATTACTTAATCGGCGAATCTCTTCGTTCAGCGCCTTCGAAACGCGCTGCTCTACGTCTTCTACCATATGATGAATTTTTTGCTTCATTTCGTGAGTTATCAGCATCAACTGTTGCTCGGTGTAATTCATTTTATCGTGAAGGTCTTTTCGTTTTTCTATCTTTTCATCTTTTATCTTTTGAGCATCTGTGTAAATCTTATCCAACGATTCCTTCAACTCGCTGCAAAACGGGTTGAAAAACTTATCTTGCTTGTTCAAAAATCACACAAACACATCACCTTTGGTATGAGATTTTTCGATTCAATGCCCTGTAGGAAGAATAAGAAACACAATGCATGTTGCACCAGGTGCAGATACAGCTTTTCAATAGGTTTTAAAAACTGACAAAGATTCCTACTCTCTGTCCACACTACACTAGACAGCCAACCCTAATGCGAGTACATTTATTTATTTATTTATTATCCCTCTCTTGTTCTGGGCCCTCAACAGGCTTGCGCCCAATTACAGAGTGACCCGCATAATACTTTTTTGAGTAGGTACATGTGGTACAGTGTTAAAAGAACTTTTATTATTATATTATTCTTTAAGAGTTGCGATCAGAATTCGATATACTTACCAAACCAACGGGAAAAAAGGAAACATATCTACATTTACATTTTCCTAAAGGAAAGTTTCGCTATTGGTCAACATTTGTTTAATTTATCTTCAATATCAATATGCGGTTTTTTTGTAAACCCAGTTAATGATCGGTACCATGTAAAAGAGATGGGAAGCAATTGGCTCAATTTATTCCACTTCTCCTAGTGGAGTTTTATGGAGTTTTTTTGACCAAAATCACGATTACGCGCATTTATTTAAAAATGAAATAGATACGGCAATTAAGAGTGCAGAGAGACCCCTGCGAACGAACGCCTACACGAAAACCTAATCTGCAAAGATACTCCATTGTTTTGAAAAATATCTGGGATACAGTAGTAGTTCGCCCAAGGACAGTTTACTTATGCTGAAAGATAAATTATGGGTGAAATTTATACAGGCGTTGTCTATCTAGTGTAGTATTATTTTGCTCTGTCAGTTATCATGTACAGGGTGGCCAACTAAGAATGCGAGGTACTGTATCTGAGAATCTATCTATCATAGAGGCTTGCGGTAAAAAAATTTATTACTAAAACGGCCACGAGCAAAACCTGGAAAATATTTTTAAGTTTCTGAAATGGCCGCTAGGGGGCGTAACTGCAATCTAGAATCTAAAAAAGTGATGTTTCTGTGAATTCCGCTATATTAACCTAACAAAAAAATGTCCGGTCTTTGAAGTCGACGATAATCTGAACAATTTTTGTTCGACAATTTTTCCTGTATCTCTAAAAATTAAGTGGTGGGGGGTATTCAAAGGTTTCCGTAAAGAACACCCTGTATCTTCGAAACGACTGAGCCGATTTTAACAAACTCGAGTTAATTAGAGAGGGCTATTCTTCAGCTACAAATATTATACTATTTAAAATTTTGTTTTCACATATCACCGCTTGAA